CAGTGGGTGTGGGTAGGTCAGCTGAAGAGAGAGAGTGGAATGGGGAGATGGGAAGATGTGATGTTGGGGTAGCGGTCAGAGAGGAGGAGCTGGGGTTGCCTTCTCCGGAGGAGGAGCGGCAGCGCCAAGCTGTCCAGGCCCTGTCCACCAAGATTGCCGTCCTAGAGACGCAGCTGAAGAGGGCACTCCAAGAACTCCAGGCTGCCCATCAGAAACTGGAGCATCAGGGCAGGGATCAGGAAGACAAAGAAACATCCACAAGGGATGGGGGTCTCCTGACAGAATGGAGAGTAGAAGAAGAAGGTCCAGGGCAGTGGGGTCACGGGGCTTCCCAGGGCCCACCAGATGCCCCCATAAGGGTGGATACAGTCAAGGTTGTCCAAGTGGAGAGGGAGCCAGAGGTTGTAGCCAGCACAGCCACAGGGATGGACCACAGGCCACAGAGGGCACAAACCCTGGAGACCAAGGAGCCTTATGCCAGCCTCAGAGCTTTGGTAGGCAAAGATACAGGATCTGAGGAAGTGAAGATGCCACTCTGTGCCACGTATCGCAGCAGTGAGGTGATGGAGACCACGTTCCCTGTCCATGCGGGACCAGCAAGCCCTCCTTCCATTTTCCACTGTGTGAAAAAGATCAGCATTGCCGGCACAGAGGAGGATGGCAATGGGAAGCAAGATGTAACAGGTAAGGAGGTGGGGCATCTGTTCAGTTTCCTTTGAGGGGAGGACAGCATATCCACCCCAGACAAGAGAATACTTGGCATATTTTCCCACAAGCCCAGCCAATTCTCAGAGTGATGTCTCATCTCTATTTAGTTTTCCTTCTCCCTGCTAAATGCTCAAGATAGTAGTAATGCAACAAAACAATGAGAGTTAAGTTCAGGTGTTTCCATTCATTGTGAAATTGTCAGTTATGCAGCTATTGCATAAGATCACAAATTCATGGCCCTGAATAGAGGAGAAGTACTCTCCCTCTGTCCCCAAGTGCTCCTTCTTTTCCGTTACATGTAGCCTATCTATTATGTTTACCTATTGTCATGGGAATTTCTGGAGGAAGGACGCTCCAGGACAGATGCCCCAAATCTCCTGGGCTTTGCCTTGTATCTTTTGAGCTGCCCTGATGGCATTGTCTCTCTTAATGCCAGCTTTCCTCTCCTTCTGAATTTAGTAGTTCAACAGAGGAAAGGGGGTGTCTAAGAGAAGTTGTGCATTCTGCATGGCATGAAACAAGTAAAGAGTGTGTCCAGAGGAGGGCAACCAAAATGGTGAAAGGTTTGAAAACCACCAGGCCCTATGGGGAGTGACTTAGGACGTTATCACATGGGGGAAATCTGTTGGTTAATTCGCACAAATCCCAAACAAAAACTGAATTTGTGCCTCACGATTTCACACGA